GCGTGGAGGATGGGAGCGAGGGGTTGATGGAGGCAGGGTGAGGAATGATGGAATGAGGAAAAAAGGGGAGTGGAAGGATGATGACCAGGAGGAACAGGAGGATGACGACGATGAAGCCGACGACGATGACGACGATGATGATGATGCTGCTGCTGATGCTGATGATGATGCTGCTGCTGATGATGATGATGATGATGATGATGATTATGCTGATGCTGATGATGATGCTGATGATGCTCATGCTGGTAATGATGATGATGATGATGATGATGATGATGATGATGATGATGATGATGATGATGATGATGATGATGATGATGATGATGATGTGGCGTTGATGATGGTGGGGATGATGATGATGATGACGGAGAGGAAGAGCAGGAGGAGCAGGAAGAGCTGGAGGAGGGGGAGGAGTAGAAGGAGGATAAATAATGGGGGAATATGGTGAGTGTTATCTGATGGGGATAACGACGATGATGCAGATGATGATTTTGAGGCGGAGGACGAGGAGGATGACGATAACGACGACGATGATGGTGGTGCTGCTGCTAATGCTGACGACGACGATGAGGGTGATGCTTATGATGCTGATGATGATTATTCAGATGATGATGCTGATGATGACGACGATGATGATGCTGATGACCATGCTGCTGATGCTGCAGCTGATGATGATGATGATGATGATGATGATGAGGAGGAGGAGGAGGAGGAGAAGGAGGAGGAGGAGGAGGGGGTGGATGATAATGATGATGATGCTGATGATGATGAGGAGGATGAGGAGGAGGTGGATGTTGATTCAGGCGATCGCAAACATGGATCAAGGGGGCGTGTATTAGCGACGGGTCCCGTCTCCATGGGAAATCGGCACCTCCCCGGATCCATGGATTTGGCGACGGTGCGCCAAATCCATGGATCGCTAATCCATGCTTGCGCGCCCCCGATTGAGGATGAGGGTGAGGCAGAGGATGATGATGAGGACGAGGATGCTGATGATGATGAAGATGATGACGATGATGACGATGCTGCTGTAGTTGTTGTTGATGATGATGCTGATGACGATGATGATAATGAGTCTCATGCTGGCGATGAGGACGATGCCGGTGACGGTGATGATGCTGCTGCTGCTCATGATGTTGATGTTGATGATGATGATGATGCTGGTCATGCTTATGATGATGATAATAATGATGATGCCAGTGCATATGATGACGATGATGACGATGACGATGATGATGATGATGATGATGCTGCTGATTATGAATGTGGCGATGATGAAGATAACGATGCTGCTGCTGATGATGACGATGACGAGCGTGACGATGCTGATGATGATATTGCTGATAATGATGATGATGCTGATGATGAGGATGATGGGGTTGATGATGATGCGGTTGCTGCTGATGATGATGATGATCCTGATGATGATGAGTATGATGATGACGACAACGATGCTGACAATGCTGATAATGACGAGGATGAAGATGATGACGACGATGATGACGATTCTGATTCTGATGATGATGATACTTATGATGATGATGATAATGCTGATGATGCTGATGATGCTGATGATGCTGATGACGATGATGATGCTGATGATGATGATGATGCTGATGCTGGTGCTGATGCTGCTGATTAGGATGATGATTATGATGATGATGAATCTGATGCTGATGGTGATGCTGCTGATGATGATGCTGATGCTGATCATGATGCTGATGCTGATGATGATGATGATGCTGATGCTGATGCTGATGATGATGATGATGCTGATGATGATGATGATGATGATGATGATGCTGATGATGCTGATGATGATGATGATGATGATGATGATGATGATGATGATGTTGATGCTGATGATGATGCTGATGCTGATGCTGATGCTGCTGCTGCTGCTGATGATGATGATGCTGATGATGCTGATGATGATGATGATGATGATGATGATGATGATGATGATGATGCTGATGATGATGATGATGATGATGATGATGATGATGAAGCTGATGATGATGAGTCTGCTGATGCTGCTGATGATGCTGATAATGCTGGTGCTGCTGATGATGATGCTGCTTATCATGAGGATGGTGGTGATGGTGGTGGTGAGGAGGAGGAGGACGAGGAGGAGGAGGACGCGGATGAAAGGATGAAGAAGGAAACTGTGACGAGGAACAGTAGGAGGATGTGGAGGAGGAGAAGGAGGATGAGGAGGGCGAGGAGGACGAGGAGGAGGAGGATTGAGCAGCACTTCAGTCAACAGTCGTCGGCACATGCCTTGCAGCGTTGCTTATTCCGCTCGTTGGAGAAAGCAGCCAGGTCGAAATCCAGGGGACCCTATGTTCACCTACAACGCTGTAACCAGCGCGTGTGAGAAGTGTGGGCAGTGGCAGCGAGCATCGCTGCTGCTCGACAGGCTTCTGGGAGCCGAGCTGGAGCCGACGGTCGCCAGCTATGCTGCTGCGATCAGTGCGTGCGAGAAGGGCGCGCAGTGGGGGCACGCGCTATTGTTGCTCCGCGGGCTGCTGGAGGCGAACCTGGCTCCCAATGCCATCGCCTACGGCGCCGCTGTCAGCGCCTGCGGGAGGGGCGGCCAGTGGGAGTGGGCTGTTGCACTGATCAACGAGCTTTGGGACACGGGCGCGGAGCATGACATCATCTGCTACAATGCTGGAATCAGCGCGTGCGAGAGGAGCTGGAAGTGGGAGCATGCGCTGTCGTTAATCAGTGGAGCGGATAACGCGAAGCTGGAGCTGGATGTCGTCAGCTGCAGCGCAGTGGTCAGCGCGTGCGAGAAATGTGAGCAGTGGCAGCAGGCGTTGAGCTTGCTCAGTGGAATGGTGGAACTTCATCTGGAGATGAGTACCGTAACCTTTAATGCCGGCATCAGTGCGTGCGAGAAAGGTGGGCAGTGGCAGCACGCGTTGTCGTTGCTCCGCGGAATCGGGAAGCGACGCTTGGAGCCGGACATTATCGCCTCTGCAGCATGAATTATATTTGCTCTTCGTTCCTGCCGCCCCCCCCTGACTCTTCATCTCCCTCGACTTCTCCTCGTCTCTCTCTCTCTCTTCTCCCTCTCTTTCTCATTAGATACATATATGTATATATGTATCGAGTCCCTCTCTCTCTCTCTCTCTTACGGGCCCGGGTGCACGAGCCCAGACTGGTCTATCTCGGACTGGTCTCGGGCAGGCTCGCCGAGGCCTCGAGCCAGGGCCCTGCCGCCTCGAAGCTTCGGCCGATCGAGCCGCTGCGACTCTTCGCCACGATGCCCCCGTCCGCCCCGCCACACCACCAGGGGGGGACACGGCGCGCCAGCACCACGGTGCACTCACCGGGCCCGACCCTTCCACAGAGCCAGCCTGCCAAGGACTCGAGCCATCACGCGACCCCCCCGGGGGCCCACCAAGAGCACGACCCACGCACGCACGGAGGCACTGGGCCCACGCCGGCCCGACCGGGGCTCCCCCGATCACCACGATCGGCGACGCCCCACTCCAGGCTGGTCCGAGGACCTGTGCCCTCAGTGCTCACGACGTCGCGTCCTCCCAGCTGCTCGCGCTGTGGGGCCGCCAGGGGGGCGGGCCTCCCCCCTGTGGCCGCAGCGCGGCCAACGCTGGTGCCAGTCACCACCTACCAAACCACCCCAACCCAACCCGAAGGCCTCAATTTGCCCTCCATTTCCAGTGTGGGGGGGGTTGGGGAACATCGAAAAAACACGTATGGAACCCATACCCCCCCCCATCCCGAAATTCGGGTCCTCGGGTTGGGTTGGGGTGGTCTGGTAGGTAGTCAGCCAGGGGGCTCACGTCCAGTGCTGGCCCCTGGAGGCTGCGCCAGGCCGACCCGTCCAGGGCTCAAGCGGCAGCGTGCCCCTTGACACGCCTACCCCCGGAACCTGCGCACGCCCCGTGAGTGGGCGCCCCTCCTGCGGTGGGTCCGCTCTCAGGATACACGCCGGTCGTTGAAAGTAGGTATTTTTGGATTCCCAGACCCCAATCTACTTCAAGCGCCTTTCTACTTCAAGAACCGACATGCTCTTGCTGTGATTGGTTGCTCTCTGGGAGGGCCTGGACCCAATCCACTATACCCGCCTTCCCGACCGACCTACTCTCAGGATATTAGCCTTAAGTCGGGCTTGTCCCTCTACAGGGGGAATATTCAAACACAAATAGTAAACAAATAGTCTGGGGACTATTCGCTGCCGCGAGCCCGCCACGCCACGGGCCCGAGCTGCAGCGCCGCCGGGCTGCGGCTCACGGCCTGGGCTGGCCCCGCCGCCCCCCGCGGTCCAGAGACTCGGCGGCACCGTGTTTCCAGTCGGCCCGGACTAGTAGGTTTAAGTCGGGCTTGTCCCTCTACAGGGGGAATATTCAAAAATAGTAAAACAATAGTGTGGGGACTTTTTTTTTTTTTCGGTGTATTTTTGGAGTATTTTTCAGTGTTCGTCGAAAATCCCCCTGTAGGGGAACACGCCCGACTTAAAATTTGTAGGTCGACCCTGCCAAGTCAAGGGTATTTCAGGTCTCTCAATCAGCGTGGGGGGGTGGATCGCGTGGGGGGGTGGGAAGCCGCCGTCCTTTGGGGGGCGTGGGGAGGTTGGGGAGCGAGAGGGGGTGGGTTTGGGGCGCGTGGGGGGGCGGGCAAGGGGCGTCGGACAGGTTGGCACGGGGGGGGTACTGATTGAAGGATCTGGAGTACCCTTGTGTCCTGTGCCTCGCGACCCGTGCCTCCTGTATTCCTACGGCAACGTGGCCCCCAGAAGGGGTCTTGTCCTCTCGCGTGACCTGTCCAAGGAAGTCCGACTGTACCAAAGATCACCGTCGCGGTGGTCCCGGCAGCTCAGACGGTGGCGGGCCTCGCGGCAACACCACCACCCTGCGCGAGTCCTCCGCGTGCCGAGCCCTTGGTCTTGCTCCGAGGGGCCGCAAACGCAACTGACACGCAAATCTTTCAGATTCTCGATGGATCCCAGGTGAACCTGTGGAGGACGATCAATGGAGAGGAAGCATGTTGCCAAATAATTTCCAGATGTCTAAAGCATGTGTTAAGCATATTTTAAACATGCAACACATGCATGTTTAAAACATGTTTAGAACATGTGTCCGACATTGTAAACACATTTTAAAATTTAATGATAGGACTGTTAGGGTGTCCATTGTCGTGGCATCCACAACACACGCGGTTCTCGTGTCTTCGGGGAAGGCTCAGAAAACTCCTCGGAAGGCCAGAGGACTTCTGACTCTTCTGAGAAGGCCTTTTCCTTCTCACTCCCCCCCTCGCTCGCCGCCAATTATCCTTACTTCATCTTTGTGCTCATAGTTGTCGAACCAAAATCGAGGCGACGGAAATGTTCTGGATGGCCCCGGCACGCCCTGTCTACTTGCTCCGTAGTGTCCCCCCGATGGCTTGCGGAGATTGCGCACAAGGCCCGAACAAACGGCTCCAACAATAAACCATGGGCCCAAAGAGCAGAAAAGCACCTGAGGGACAGTTTTGTTTTGCTTTGCGGGTATTTGGTTGGCTTTGCCTCAGTCAAGGAGCAGAGGGAAACACGGAAACGGAGAAACACCTGAGACACTGCGTCGGCAAGCGCCGAACAAAGGACTCGCAAGGGCAGAAACGTGTTCTATTCTAGAGGGTTGGCTAACATAATGATTCCTTCTTTGGGCCGAAGTACATCAAGATTTGTTCTGTGTGTGGGAGAAGGGAGCCGTGGAAACGAGGAAACACCGCGGACACCGCACAACGTCGCCCAGGATCGAACAACGACCCGCAAGGCCTCTAAAAGTGTCCCAAAGACCAGAAAAATATAATGACTTCTTGTTTGGGCCTGATTGTAGCAGGCTTCGTTCTTCGGGCGGGCGGAGCCGCATCAGCAAGGACAGACATTACTCGACGCAGAGACCCCCATATTTGCACTTGTCACGCTTCGCTGCGGAACTCTGCCTATGAGTACCTAGATGTGAGAGCGAGGCCGCGTAGACGACAGGCGCGGCAATGACGACGACGACAGCGACGACTTCAGTGACGTCCTCTCCCTCCTCTAGAAACCGTTTAGGACAGATGCGGGAAACACAAGTGTGAGAGCGAGGGGGAGTTCCTCTTGCCATTCTTCTCGCGGTAATTCAGGCAAGCGCGCATGCCGCTCTTCTTGCCATTCTACTCGCGGCGCCTGCTGGCATTTCGGGTGCTGAAGTGCGACGCCAGCCATTTCGCGGCAACAATTTTTGTGTGAGCCTTAGTGCGATTGAATCTGAGCGTGAGTGATCTGGGTGTGAGCGAATCGGAGTGTGAGTGGATCCAAATATGATCGAGCCTGGGCGTGAGTGGGTCTGGATATTGTCAGTTTGAATACGAGTAGGTCCGGATCTGAGTGAGCCTGAGTGCGAACGGGTTTGCATTCGAACGGGTCTGCGTGCATGTGATTAATTCAAGTCTGAGTCTGAGTGAGCCTGGGTGCGAGGTCCTATGGGGTGTGCATGAGTCTGAGGGCTGGTGAGTCTGAGTGTGGGCGAGTCTGAGTGTGAGTTGGTGGGTGTGGGCGAGTCTGACTTCGAGCGAGTCTGAATCTATGAGGCTGAGTATGGCCGACTTTGATTATGGGCGATTCTGAATGTGATGAGTGAGTCCGCGTGAGGAAGTGGTGCGTAAATCCGAGTGCGAACGAGTGCGTCCGAGTGGGGAAACGAGGAAGTGAGTGAGCAAGTGTGTGACTGAGTGAGTGAGTGAGCGAGTGAGTGGGGAACACACGCGTCCGAAGAAACGTTCGAGGTGGCAGAAACAGGCAAACCTTATGATACAGTCCCTTCGTTCCCAGCGCGAGTCTTAAATGCCCCCTCCCATGGCGGCTCCCCCTTGGGGTGCCCAAGTGCCATGCTTGCCATGTCGCGGTTAGCGTTAGTTCACAAAACAGTAAATACATTTGTGCGGACAAAAACAGGCAAACCGCCTGAGACATCCCCCAATCCGAGCGCGAATCCTGGAATGCCCCCCCCACCCCTGGCGGCTCCCCCCTTGGGGCGCCCAAGCGCCGCACCTGCGATATCGCGGTGGGCATTGGGCCATCCAAACAACTCACACACACAAACTGGGGGGCAGAAGCGCGCACATCGCCAGAAACATTTTCGCAAACTGCTTATGGAACAAATCATGTCGGGTACCCGAACAAGCAAACCGTTCGAAACACCCTCGCAGCTTGGGCGCGAACGGAGGAATGATACACCCCATGGCGGCTCCCCATTGGAGTACTGAAACCAACACCTCGTTTGAGACATCCCCGCACTTGGTTGCGACAGCAAAAGATATAGGGCACGGCAAACCGCTTGAGACATCCCCACAACCGGGGCGCGAACGGAGGAGTGAAATATTCCTTGGCGGCTTCTTTTTGGAGTGCTGAAACCAGCGCCTCGCCTGAGACAGTTTCGCAATTTGCTATGACAGCAAAGGTTGCTGGGTACCCAAACAGGCAAACCGCCTGAGATGTCCCCATAATTTGGACGCGAACGGAGGAGTGATATGCCCCCTGGCGGCTACCCCTTGGAGTGCTGAAACCAGCGTCTCGCTTCAAACATGCTCATAGTGTGTCTGCGTGAGTGATTCTGAGCATGCGTGAAATTGAGTGAGGAAGTGATGTGCTTCAATCTGCGTGAAATGGGAAGGGAGAGTCTGAATATGAGTGTCCTTGTTCTGTGATTCAGTCTGAGTGCGAATGAGTCTGAGTATGAAAATGAATATGAAGATGGGTCGGTTTGCGCAGTCTCAATATGAGTGAGCTTGAGTGTGAGGAGTGAGTGTGGGTGTGAATGTGAGGCAGGGGAGAGTGATGCAGGTTGGGAAGGAAGAGCCGACGAGGTCTGACTAAGAACAAGAGCCCATCTTAGGACATGTGGACAATTATACCGGCTAGAAAAATGCCCCACTGGTCAGAACTGCCGCGCGTCATGATTCCTGGGGGGAAACGGGGAAACAGGAGAACATCCCAGGCATCGCACCGCGCCAGCAAGGACCGAGTAACGACCCGCACGGCCCGAAAAGTGCCCCGCAAGCCCTTTCATTTTTTCGGGCCTTGCGCTCAGCGGCCACCCTCTATCGTGACAGGCGGGGCATTCACTTCGTCCTCCTGTTCCCTCTCTTCATCCTCCTGGCTCGCTCGTTGAACACCCGGCGCCGTGGGAAATGCGCATTCGTCCTCCTCGCACGCTTCAGATGGTAATCGAGCCGCCATCGGATGCTTGGTTATCCCTGGCCCTAACCGAAGCATGTCTTCTATACTGGGGCACCTGCGTGCGAGAAGGGTCTAGGGAGCAACGGAGGGTAGGAGCGTCGGGCCGCACCCGGAGGGCCTCAGGGGGCGTCTGAATAGGTTCCGGAGAGCCTCAGATGGCGCCAAGACGGCCCAAGAAGGCTTCAGAAAGGCTCCAACTGACCCAGAAGGTGCCCCAGGACGGTCCCAGAGAGCCCGAGGACAGGCCAGGAGGCTCCCACGACAGCCCAAGAAGACCGACGACGGTCCAACGAGGCCAGAAACATTTAGTTTCGACATATTTTTGACAAGTTTTGGGGTCCTTGCCATTTCGGTCCAAGAGCGGCTCCAGACGGCCTCGGGGGCCTCACAGATCGCCTCAAGAAGGCCCAAGAGGCCCCGACGAAGGCCTCAAGACTGCCCAAGAGGGTCCCACAACTGCCTAGAGAGCCCGAAGACGGCCCAAGAGGGCCCAGCGACAGCCCAAGAGAGTCCCAGGACGGCCCAATAGAGCCCCAAGTGGCCCGAAGAGCTGCCCAAGAGAACCTAAAGCGGGCTCCAAGACGGCCTAAGACCCCCAATGTGACCCCCAGACGGCCCAGGTGGCCCCAAAGACGACCCAAGAGGGTTCTCAAAGTTGCCCAAGAGGGCCCATAAACGCCCGTGAAACGCCCCTAGGAGGCCCCGACCAGGGTTCGAAGAGGGTCCAAACGACGGGCTCCCCGCAGCCCCCCACAGTCCGCGAACCATCCAGGATATTCAGATGACGGCGCAAGTGGCCCCCAATCGAAGCCCAAGAGTGCCCCATCAACCCACCAGGGATGGCCCTGGGAGGCCCATGAGCGCTTCAGAGAAGCCCAAGAAGCCCCGGAGGAGGCCCCGACAAGGCCCCACGTCGGCTCCGGGGTCCCCCACTGCGGCTCCCTCGCTCCGCCACCGCACCAGAGCCTGCGGTCCCCTCTCCTCCCTCCCGCTTCCTCTCCTCTCGGCTCTCCCTCCTCCGTCCTCGCCCCTCCCTTCTCGGCCGCCGCTCCTCCCTTCTCGCCATCTGCTGATTGCTCCTCGCTTCTCCCCCCCCCTCCTCTTCGATCTCTTTGGCCCTGGCGAGAAGCAGCACCCTGCAGCGTCGAGCAGGAGCGGGGGCACCCGCAGCACCCGCAGCAGCAGCAGCAGCAGCAGCAGCAGCAGCAGGGAGCGGCAGCAGCCCGAGAACACGAAGCAGGAGGGATCGGCAGCACGCGCCGAGGAGGGCGCAGCCATCTGCAGCACCCCGCAGCCACCGGCAACCGCGGCATGCAGCGGCGGCAGCCATTACCGACAGCACGCAACGGTGGCAGCAAGCGGCGGGAACAAGAACCCCATCCAAGGAAACGAGGTCTGAGTAAGAACAAGAACCCCATCGTAGGATATGGGGACAATTATTCAGGCTAAATGCCCCACGGGTCAGAACTGCCGCGCGTCAGGATTCCTGGGGGGAAACGGGGAAACAGGAGAACGGCACGTGGCAGCATGCGCGGAATGCGAGGTTCGAGACCCACGTTGTACACTTTTAGCTCTTCGGCAGCATGTCCACAGCTACGATCCGGCTCGTGCATATGTCGTGGGCGCGGTCCCCGTGCCAGCCCTAGTCATCAGCTACAGTGCTGGAATCAGCGCGTGCGAGAAAGGCTCGCAGTGGCAGCATGCCCTGATGCTGGTGGGAGAAATAGAGGACATTAAGTTGGAGCCGAATGTCACCTCGTCTTATACCATGTGGGACTTCACTGCGCGCGCGCGCCCTCTCCGAGCCCCTTGGGTGCCCAGAGAGGCCCCCAGATCCCGAACAGCGTCCCCGAGCAGTCCTGACGGCCCCGGGGCCGAGACGTCCTCAGACGGCATCATGGAGCCCTCGGAGAGCTTCACGCTGCACTAGAAGATGATGCCATGGTGGCCAGGCTTTAGGATGGTTCCGTGGCGGGCCTTCTGAACGGGGACAAGAATCGTTACCTTTCTTGCGGTTCTCTTTCTAATTGTCGCCGCTCTCCATATTTTGGGTCCAAATGGCTCCGCAAGGGCATGAGGCACCTGGAGGTCCCAATTCAGCCACACATGGCTTTGGTTGGCCTCCAGGACGGCCCCCGGACAGCTCACAGAGAGCTTCAGCATTGCCTGGGGCGATCCCTGGGGGCCGACGACAGCGTCGGAGAGCTCCCAGACGACCCGAGAGGGCTCCGCAGAGAGCGCCACGACTGCTCAAGAGCCCCCCCAGAGAGCTCTGAGACGGCCCCAGGCGGCCCGAAGAAAGCCCCAACATGCCCCCAATACTTCACAAGTGAGTCCCAGTATGGCCCCCAGCTCCGCCAGCAGCGCCAGCTATGAGCAGCTACCAGTAGCAATCAGAAGCGGTCAGCAGCAACCATCAGCAGCAGCAGCAGCAGCAGCAGCAGCAGCAGCAGCAGCAGCAGCAGCAGCAGCAGCAGCATGCAACATCAGCAAGTAGCACTAGCAAGCAGCAGCCTGCAACAGTCCGTATCAGCGACGATCACATGGCAGCGGCTTGCGTCCCCCATCACCTGTAACAAGCAGCAGCTCGCAGCAATCAGCAGCAGGCAAGGCGCACCAACCACCACCAAGCAGCGCCAATGAAGAACACCACGTTGCAGCAATCAGCAGCTCGCGTAAGTCAACAGCACGCGGCAAAGTTAGCAATAAGCAGCAAGCAGCAGCGATTCACAGCAAGCAGCACTAAACAGCAGCAAACGGTAGTACAGCACGGCAGGCAATGGACGAGCAGACAATGAATCAAGCCAGCAACACATCATGCAAGTAGGCCAGCATTCAAGCCGACAAGCAGGGTATTAGCCACGCATGCAGGACATCACTCAAGCAGCCAGTGAGGCAGTCATAGCTGTCAAGTGCAACCAGACTGCAGCAACATGCAGCAGCGGCAAGAAGCAGCGAGCAGAGGCAGCACGCAACACCTTACCAGCACGCACCAGCAGGCATCAGCAACTAGCCACAGCCATTAGTAGCGCGCGCCGGCAAATAGGTAGTCGGAGCAGAACCTGAAATCAACGGAAACTAGCACCAATCACGACTGATCAGCAGCAAGCGGCAGTCAGCGCGAGCGAGCAATCAGTTAGGAAAGCAGGCAAACGCATCATTAGGAAAGCCCGCCAGCATCCGAGCATGAACGTTGGGAGAACGCTGTCAGGCCAGCCAGCAGGCTAGCAGCCATGCGCCCCAGACAGCATGCAAACAGGCAATTGGGCAAGCAGGCAAGTCACATGGCCCAGTAGTAGCAGGGCCAGCAGAAGCAGAGCTGTCAGCAGCAGCAGCAGCCACGAGCTGCCAGCGGCATCAAACAGAACCAGTAGTCAGCAGGAGCAGGCAGCACCAGCAAGGAGAGTTCACAAGCGGCGGCAACAAGCAGCAGCGGGCAGCAGCGAGGGACAGCCAGCAATCAGCAGCAATCGGGGGCAGCACGCATCAGCAGCAGGTAGCAGCAGGCTGCTGCTAGAAGGCAACAGCGGGTATGGGCAATGGATGTCGGCAGGCAGCAACCAGCAGCAGCACGCAGCGGAGGGAGCTAACAGCAGTGGGTTGCATGTTGTAGCAGCAGTGCGCAGTGGTAAGCAGCAGCGAACAGCATCACGAAACACCATGTGCCCGTCAGAGTCAGCAAGCAACATCAGCAAGTGACAGCGAGACAAAGCGAGTTGTAGAGAGCGGTCGAGCGAGCAATCATACACGCAGACAAGCAGACAGCAAGCTGTCAAGCCACTCGGCAGCATCCACGCAAACATGACAGCAGGCACGCTTTCTACCAGGCAAGCGATTCAAGCTTATACGGGAGTGCTTATACGGGAGTGCTTATACGGGAGTGACTTTTCGCGGACGGTAGTCTACGGGTCAGTCCCAGTCGATCTATTCTAATGTCAGGTGCAGCGCATGCCAGAAGTGCACTCGCTCAAGTGATGCAAACATCTGCCTACTACCCTCGTCAATATTAACCTCAAAAGTTGCTGGCACGTCATTTCGATTTCGGCGCGCCCCTCAATGTCGACACGCCGCCCCTTCAATGTCGGGGCGAGGGCAAAGATAGTCTGACCGAAGTTGACTCGAAAGTTTGACATCCACCGACATTGGAGGGGCGGCGCATGCAAGTACCCCGCACTCATCGATACTCGGCCCCAGATCTTCCGACAAGCAGTTCAACCACGTCAGACATTTTTGAGGTTAATTTTGACGAGGGTTGTAGCAGGCCCCGTGCGACTCAGGGGCGCTCCAAGACGGCCCACGAGGGAGGGAGGGTCCGAAGAGGGCCCCAATCTGGTTCATGCGGCCGAAAAGGGCCTGGAGAGGACCGGAGGAACTCCAGGACGCTCAAGGGCGCCCTCAGAGAGCACGCTCGAGAGAGCTCCCAGAATCCACAGTTATTCATCCGTAAGACTTCCAATGTCGTGCGCTCGCAGCCCAGGGCCCCAGAGCGCCAGGAGGGCCCAAGAGGCCCCCGAGGTCGCCCGAGGGCGGCCTCAGAGGCCCCAAGGCGGGCCCGAAGAAGGCCTCACAGTGCCCCGAGGTGGCCCCTGAGTGGTTCCACGGGCTGCCAGCACCCGAGACAGCCCCGTGGCCCGCCCGACCGCCATCTGGCCCCAGCTCGAGCAGCACCTGGATGTCCCGAGGGGCCCCAAGACGGCCCAAGATTGCCCCGAGATGGCACAGGAGTCTCCGAAGGCGCCCCGCAGAGGCAGCCCAAGGGGGCCCCATGACGGCCCCAGAATCCCCCAAATGCAGTTCTCTACAGCCAGGGGGACCGAATGGGGCCCCTTGCAGCCCACGGCGGGGCCAGGCGGACCTGGGGCACACCGAGGTGCATAGGGATTTTGCTCAAGTGCCTCGAGAAGCGGTGGCCGACGGAGTCCTCAAGACAGCCCCAATATAGTCTAAGGAGGGGGCCTCGTACCGCCTCCCTCAGGCCTCCGACAGAGCTTAGATTTTGTTCATGTGCCTCGAGAATCCTTGGCCGACTCGGCCCCCGAGAGGGCCCCAAGACATTCTAAGGAGGGGGCCTTCCACCGCCTCCCTCAGGCTTCCGACAGGGCTTCTCGACGCAGCAGCACCTTTGGCAGCAGCACCACCACCAGTGGCTGGCACACCGTCACCCCCGCCGCTGCAGCGCGCAGTATTTCGCTGGCAGCGGCGTGGAGCCAACCCGCACCAGCAGACAGGCAGCACCAGGAGAAGCACAGGGGACAACTTACACCAAGCAGGGCCAAGCAGCAAGCCGCAGTAAGCGTCGGTGAGCGGACGAGCAATCGATGAAGCGCAATCAGGCAAGACACGATAATGATCAGGCAGTCTGGCCAGCATGCAGGCGGGAGCGTCGGGGGAAATCTGTCGGGCCAGCAGCGCAGCAGCCATGCGCACAGGACGGCACGCTTGCAGGCAACCTGGCAAGCAGTCTTCCCCCTTGCATGCCAGCATGCTAGCGTGGACGTAAGTCTACGGGTCAGCCCCAGTCGCTGGTCGATGTATTGCCGGGCGCAGCGCGCGCCAGAGGGGCGCTCTCTCAAGTAGGGAAATACTTCGCCGCTGCGAGAGTTCGGCCAACATGCAGCTCCTCCTGCGAGGCGACGTGGTCCCAGTAAGACGTTGTTAGTGGCGTTGCGCCCGCGACCAGAGAGGAGACGTCAAAGGGGCCCGTTAGGCCGCGGGGCTCCTGTAATAGCAATGTTTTGCTCAAGCATTGTTTTACTCAAGTCTCGGGCGGAACCGCCCTTTCGAAATCTCTGGTCAGAAATCCATGATCTCAAATGTCAAGCGGTGTGGCCATTTCGAAACAACTGTTTCGCTCGAGACGTCCTCAAGCAACAATTTCGAGCGATTTCGAAACTTTCGGGTTCGATCTCGAGACGGCGCCCCCGCCCAAGACTTTCTCCAAATCGAAGCATTTCTGGTCGCCCACGCGACGCGATTCAAGAGACACTGGACATGGGCTCGCTGACCCCTGGACGCCTCCTGGAGCCGGCCACGCCGGTCCTGGCGCCGGCGGCGGTCTCTCGAGGAGCGCGCCACCTATTGGGCAGGTGCCGCAGCCGGCCCGGGTGAGGCTGACCACCGGCAGTGGGGGATCGTGGAGGACGCGAGGCCCATGGGAGGCAGCTGGGCGGCGCGGGCGGCGCCCGAGGCAGCCCTTCCGGGGCGGATCCCCCCTTCTGAAACGCGCGCGCGCCTGGCTGGGCCCGACTCCCCGGGCCCCCTAATTACGCAGCTGCCTCCCCCGCCTCAGGGGAAGGGGCATGCGCGCCTGGCGGGGCGTGCTGGCCAAGCCGCTGGCCAGGCAGCGCCTCGGCTGGGCGGCCACCGGGAGGGGCGGCCCGGTCGGGAGTGAAGGCCCTGACAGGCCGAGGCCCGCCCCAGACGACTTGCAGGCGCGCGCGCGCCAGGCGCCCGCTGGACCGGCGGGCGCCGGCGCCGCCGCGCTCGGCCCCATCGGGCGCCGGCGCGGTCCGCTGTGGATGCGGTAGTGGCGCGGTCCCCGCACGTGGCGCGGTGCAGCCTCCTCAGGGGGCCGGGGCCCCCACAGTGCGGAGTGGTCTAGTGAAAGGCGTCGTGGAGTTCTGCGACGTTTTGGCTGGAGGGGTTGGCGGAGGCCCATTCCGCGCGGTGGAAGGAGGCCATGACGCAGTATGGCGCAGCATGTGCCGTGGCAGCATCGTCATCGTCATTTGGCGCCGATGCCCCCTCTTCTCCTCCCTCGGGCCTCATCT